GGTGTTTCACATAGCCGGTCATAAAGGCGGTTACGAACTAACTTACGACGAAGAGTACCGGGTGGTATTTCAACTAACGCTACCGATTTCTCTAGATCCGCTCTTCTTAAGCTTCTCTTTATCGCTATACTTATTTCACCGCTAATAAAGGGCAGCATAAACGGGATTTTATTTCGGCCAAACAGTTCGTTTTGTGGGTCGCTTTCCTTCTAAACTTATCTCGTGAGGTTACTATTTCGTAGCCATTGAAGATGGCTATTTGCCGAGCCAAATCGCGCGATTCTTCCTTTAGTTTTAACTTGGTGCGCACAGAGGTGGCTGTTCGAAACATATTTAGTCGTTCCTCATAAACATCGCTCGTGTAGATTGAGACGAAGACCAATCTTTCCACAGGCTTTATCAAAGTTAGCAAGCATTCAGTTCGCTTAGCCAATGTTTGGTGTTATAAGAACCATGTCATCAGCAAAGCGAAGATGGTGTAATTATCGACGATCGATTTTCACTCCCATGTTGTCCAATTCCAGTGTTTGCCCAACGTCCTCGACGATGGCAATAGATAATTTTGGCTGGATGGTATCGTCTTTCCAAATCCCTCTCTTCACGTCGATGTTAACTTCGTTTCACAATGGTGATATTTTCGTTGTGAACTTTTTATATAGCTCATGAAAAATCTTCATATAGTAAGTGGGGACGACCTGACTGCCTGGGCTTCCATAACTGCTTCACTCTTATCTGAGTCAAAAGCGTTCTTTAAATCGATGAAAGTGAGACAGAGCGGTATATTGTACTCTAGCGCAACGTCACTGAGTCCTATTGTTGTGTGAATGTGTTCCACCGTGCTGAATACTTTTCGAAACCCTGCCTGTTCACAAGACCGTCATTCGTCTAGTGTTCTGTCATTCCTATTTATGATCACTCGATTGAAGAGTTTATAGGCCACAGAACGCAAGCAGATTGGGCGATAGTTGACGATATCGTGCAGTTCATCCTTCTTGAACAGCAACACAGTCTTGGTGTGCTGCTATTGAACAGGAACTTTGCATTCTGATAGGTAACGCGCAAATAGTTGAACCAGTGTGTTTATCAGGACGTGTGGAAGGTTCCTAATGTGTTCAGATCTCTTCCTGTTCGGATATGGCTTTGTTCGACCTTTTACCGACAAAATAGCATGTCGGATGACGTAAAGGATAACGAGTGAGACAAGATATTCATCCTACCCTATTTCGCGTGAAGGCAAGAGGACGTGGCTGTTGAACGGATCCGAGTAATAATCGTGAATGATTTTCGCCATTGGTTTTATGGAAACTGTTACTGTTCCGTCTGGACGTTGGAGTGCAATCGTCTTAGATTTGTAAATGACGAAGTTTCGGTGGGCTTTGGGATGGTTTTTCCCAGTTTCTGCAGCTTTGATCATAACTGCTGCTCTTCTATCTTTAAGATCTTCTTTTGCCGCTTGTCTGCATTGTTTTTGAAGTTCGGATGTGTGTTGGCGGTTGTCCTTTGCGATTCCGCGCCGACATCTCAGTTCAAATATTTCTAGGACAGACGTTTCTTGGTGACTTTCGAACTCTCAGCTTTCATTGCCCTTGCGTGATATCGGATGAGCCGATCGTATTCCTCATAGATGTTATCTAAGACGGAATGTTCCCAACAGCCGACTAATGATCCCAGTTTATGGTAGTTTTGGAACTTTTGTTTTCGAGTCTAGCGTCTTTTTCCCTTTCCATGAGAAACAAAATCTTGCACGAAGGGTGCGACAGTCTGACCTTGTGTAGATTTTTGGGACAACAGCGACATCGGTTAGGCAAAACCTTCGATTTACAACGATGTGGTCTATTTCGTTATGGTTTCTCCATTGGGAGACTCTCGCATCCAGCGTTGGGGGTGGGACTTCTGGAACTACGAATTACCATGAATGATCTTGGTCTCAGAATGAACTCAGCCGCTCACCCTGCTCTTCCATTCTAATCCGTGGATCTTAGTTTGATGTTTTTATGGGTCCAATCTTAGCGTTAAAATCTCAAATGATGACCTTATGGAATGCATGCTGTTCTGTGCAAAACTTGTCCAAGTCCGTGTAGAACGGTTAGACTTCTTCTTTGTCATAGTTTGATGTCGCGCGTAAACGAAGAAGATTGTTAATGCCGAAATCGTTCCACATCTCTTCAATCGTAAACGTCTGATTCGGCTTGTTAGTTGTTCGAATGAGCGTGGCCAAACCTGTGTTGATGAAAACGTCGACGCCGCCGCCTCTACTATCACATGCTCCGAGAAACAGTTCATCTCAACTGTTATAGAAGGCGTAGGATGGATGGCGTCTTCTCGTTTCATCCAGTTCGATGATGTCGTACTTTGTCCTTTTTGCCTTCGTGGCCAAGTCCTCTGTGCAAGACTTAGATGCAAGTCTGCGTGCATTGACGGAACAGATCGTCATCCTAGTCCTTTGAGATTTAGGCAGCCTATAACGGCGCTGAGAAATTAGCAGCATCTGCGTACTCATCCTTCCCAACGCTGCCGCATCGGTAGATCTTTCAATGTAAGAAGAATGAGGCCCTACTATTTTACTTTGTTTAGCAGTCAATACACACGTATAGCTTGTTGAGCTCTGATTTTCGGAGCTGAATATCACCTGGTCTATGTAGCTTGTCAGTCTCTCCTAGACCAAACAAAGAAGCTTATTTGCTGGAAGGGGCTCCTAGCGGCCACGTATATACTTTCCTGTCACCTGATAGCATGTTTTTAGCCGAATTGACGCGTAGAATAGAATCCGCATAAAGGAGAACACATCCACACATGCACATATGAATTCATTTTCGTGAATGCGAAAGGTATGTGTCATATCGAGGAAATAGAAGAGACAGTCTGTCCTCTTAATCCACCTGCATCTCGGAGAAGCATAAGGTCTCTTTTGTTTCTCTATTAACCTCCTATCTGCCACCCGGGGATGCGCCACGTTACTTCGCGACTAACCATCACGAGGTCACTCTATGAGTACCATGTATGCTTTGGAAAAGCGCAACAGGTTGC